CTTCTGCTTCTTACTCATCAATGAAAAGAACTGCTCTGACAGACTCAGAAAAAAAGCATGGAAATTCTCATAAAGCACAGGTATAATTAAAAAAGCCAACACAAACCAAGCCTCTCTGGCTCTTGCAATGCATTTAATAGATTCCAACCTGTTAACGTTTATGCTAGCTCAATATTTTAATAGTATTGGTTTTATTTCTCCATCATGTAGCAATTTCACCCATTAAGGTAGAATTAGTTGCCTTATAGTTTATGAGTAGCATTTAAGTAGAGCGGTTTGTTTTTCATGGGATAATTTTCTTGTAAGTGCACACGGGTAATAACGCTCTAACGCTCAGCTTTCCTCCTTTTGCATATTGCTTATGCTAAACAAGTTATTTCAGCAATAAAAGAATAACCTGCCACTTATCACTTCAGTCCAAAAGACTGTGTGTAATGGGGTCATAGAGAAACATTTCTTTAAGGCTGTGCCCCTCCGTATTTTCTTGAAAAATAGAACACTTGTGTTTGATTAAAGATATATGAAATAAAACACATAACATTAAAAATTACTTTTACAGTCACTGCTACCAAATAGATACTCTGTCCACTACAAAAGGTAGGCAAGTCATATGAATTAGTTTGAAGCCTCATGCTTCAATCCATCTTAGTAACATATTGATTCATAAAATGAGAAGTATCAACATTCTATGCATGGGAAATAACCAGATCTTGACAGCTGCTGGAATTTTTTTCTTTCACACTACCAACACACCTGAAGATTTTCACTGCAAACAAAAACAATGCCAAAGAATGGCAAGACTTCAGAAGAGCTGGCAAATCTAAGGGCATCCAGTTCTAGGTGGCTGCCCTCAACACAGCTTTGAGAGGTCCAGCTTTTGGAAGATGATTGGCAATTACCTCTTAAAAAAAAGTCTCCTTCTAAGCTTCTCAAATGAAACACTACACAAAAGAGATACATGGTGCCAGGGCACACTTCTGAACTGCTGGTCTGACTCCTTTGCTTTTATCCTTATACTGCAACTGAAAAAGCCAGAAATAGTGGGGGGAAAAAAAAAAACTGGGAGAAAAAGGGGAAAATAAGATATTTAAGAAAATTAAAAAATTAAGTTTTGATTCAGATTACTTCATGCAGAATATAAATCACTACCACGTGAAATTATCTTTTAGGTGCATCAAAATCGGGGCTTTGTATCATGACAGTGCTATACAGAAATGCTGCACTGACAGTGACTGTTCATTCATAACTTGCATGGGCCACTCAGTCCTTAGACCCTCTGATGTGATTCCATTGAGAGGATTTTTCACAGGAGTATGCAGGAAAACAGCTGCATGACTGAATTAAAGCCAGCAGGAGATAAAGGAGAAAAGATAGACCAAAATACTATCCAAATAGTGAGAATTTCAATAATCTATTTTATGTTTCTATAAGACTGCAAAGCAAGCACAGGAATCGTTTTCAGTTTTTGACAACAGATTGCATTTGCCTTCCTTTCATCCTGACTTCTAGGCAACAAGACAGTTTTCAGTAACACTCCTTCCCCAAAATGACAGTTTGCTTACTCTCCAGTGAATGTGCACATGACCAGGATTCAAGGGACAAAGATGGCTGAACCAGTAGCTCTGCTTGGTAAAGACCTAGTTCTGGCAGGGAGAGTGAGGAAAATGCTGATCCATTGCTCCCCAAACACCCACTAAAAGGAATCCGTAGACTGCACTGTAGACTTAGACTTAATTATGGCATATGATGATTAATGAACTCCATAATTTGTGTAATGTGGAAAGTACTCGCAATGCACAATGAAGCAAATCTAAATAAATAGGGCTTTGCTCTTGCAGAAGACTCCCAATGCTATGGGATGGGATGCAACCAGCCCTGGCTGCATCCTACCCACCTTAGCGGCTGGGTACAACTAGAGCAACACAATATGCAAAGTAACTAATCCCTAGTGCCCATTCTTGTGCTTTTATTCCAAATTACATTAGTTTTAGATAAATTCTAGCCTGTGCTTCTCTGTTAACACATAGAGGTTTTATGAAGACTGAATCAGTGCCCAAAGAAGAGCTGTGTTGGAAATGATCCTGCCCAGTTTGTGAAGTAGATCATTAAAATCTGTCTCTAGCAAACTACACCCCCCTACCACTACTCTCTTCGTTACCCAAGCTGTGAGACTTACACATAACTTCTGCCATTCCCCTTCCCATCAGGTGTGGATCTGCAACTGCCCATGAAACTGTTTGTCATTACTTTGACAGCGGGGCCCTGGGTAGAACCATGCACCCAACTCTGATACCCAATCTCCTCCTAGAGCATGGAGAGCTGCAGGAAGAGCTGGAGAGCAAGGGTTCCTCATTCCTCTGCTCTTTTCTGCACGCTTTCTGTTTCCTGACTAGCACAAAACATTAACACCCCTGTTTATGCTGGACTTCTGTGCTAGCTAGACACCTGCTGATTCCATAATCTCCCTGTCCACAGAAACTTCACTGGAGTTAAGGGAGACTTTTACTTCCTGAATAACACCAATTGCAAGTTATACCACTGCTCACAGAAACACTAATTAGAATTCACTGAGGAAGTTCCTTTCCCACAACCAAGCATGCAGGTGCTTTGCATATTTTGAAGGAGCACATCACAACAGCACTGAATGCAGTTTAAATAACCTGGGTTAAATTCACACCAGCAGCCATAAAGTAGATTCACTTTTCTGAACATTTCCTTGAGAAAAGTGTCAAATGGAACATTTCTTCACCTGCATAAAGACAACTTCCTTCTTGGCAGCTCTGCAGCACAACCTAGATGAGGCTGAGAAAACTGTCTTCCTCCAAGACCTATTGTGCATCTGAACTGCACATCCCAGTCCTTTCAGGTTTCATATCTACTCAAGACTCCCTAACAGATCTGTTTATCCCTATAAACACTGGAGATAAAACTTTCTAATCCATGCAAAGCTGAGAAAAGACAGGCCAAATCAGGGGTTAAATTCTTCTCCCAAATATTTGGGTCAGAGATCCAAAGTACATCAGATATTATTTTTTGTATACCATTTCCAAAGTTTATAAAAACCCCATTATGCCATTAGCTAGTCAAAAGACTATCATCCCTTCTCATATATGGTGGATTTTCAGGAGTGGCACATGTAGGCAGCGACTTACACAATCCATTTTTGACCTTACACTTCCACATCTGCTCAGCTGCTGTCTGTTGTTTACTGTTTACAATGGAAATCCATGATAGACCTCACAGCTGGCAGCATTCTGGCAGACATCCTACATACTTGGCATAGTTTAGAGGAGAGCTCCTCCCATCAGTCAGGGTCATGTGCTTTTCTTCATCTTAATTTACACAAGTAGATGGATCAACTCTATTCAGACTTGGCTTTAGGTTGCACAGATGAAATGTATTTGTACATATGTACACGTGTGTGTTTATAAAACACAGCTACTTAAGTCATAAAAACCCTGCATGAAGTCTTTTTCTCCTGCAAAAGGATATCTAAATAATATTCATTCAAATATCTATTTAGGCAAATATTGAGACAGTAAAATCATCACTGCAAAACAGCTACCAAGAAGAGTATCCAATCCTACTTCCCCTCGACAAAGTGACAAAACTTCCCTTGATTTCATCAGAAGAAACTCCAACATCTAAAGAGGCACTGCCTGTCAAATATGTTGTCCTATTAATATTTTGCAATTAAGAAAAATTAAAATATGAAAGAGCAATTAAATCTTATCACAGACTTTTCTTGGCTTTGCTTATTAGTCCCTATTGTTTTCTGAGACCTGTCATGAAAGTTTTTAAAGCCAACAGCTGCATGTTGACTGTTGTCCGACTTCTACCAAAGAAAAACACAGATTTGTTTGAAAATTTACTTAAAAAAAATGCTCCCAGGTTAAGACCTTGCATGCCACGTTTCAGCCCAGAGCGAATTTTTATGGCCGAGTTATAAACCCTTGAAAATAGGAAACTAATACTGCAAGGATTTAAAATAATAGAAAATGTTTCACATAATATAAATCTATAAGCAGAGTATTATATTTAAGTCTTAATATCTACATAGTTGGATTATCTTATATCTTGACAATCATACTAAGTAATCTTGCCTCCTCTCCCCTTCCTTTGATTCAGTGTTTCATTCTTATGCATTAACAATGCTCTGGGCCATAAAATACTGTATTAATATTAGTTTGTCACAGTAGACTAAATTTAGAACAACTCATTAATATGGGAGAGTAAAAGGCATTCTGCCAGGAGTGAGAGTGACTCTATAAGCTCTTAAGGCTATAAGTTATGCAGATATGCCACTTGAACTAGAGAGCTAGCAATTCTTTTTGTTACTAATAAGAGATTCTATTAGTTGAAGCTGATTCTATTTCTAATTAAGAAAAGTGGAAAAAGGCAATTTTACCATTGGATGTATCTCTGATGTGTAGCTGGAATAAGCCATACACCATCTTTCTCTGCTTTCTGGTCGGATAGGATTAGCGGCACATGCACAGAATGAATTTTCCCCAGCAGTATACAGGAAAAAATAACTCCACTATAGTATTTTCTTTGGTACAATCATAATCTGTGTATCCAGAAGAAAGTCCAGCAATCACAGCTATTTCAAAACAAATCTCGTAATGTTTAGAGCTGCCCCAGTGAAGAAAGTTTTCATTTTTTGCAAATACAGTCTTTCGTATTCGTATAGTTTCATGCCAGTAATGCCTTCTCAAAGGTTGTCAAATATTAATTTTTTTAAATTTAGTCCCTTGCTAAGCTACAAATATTCATGTTTAACACCAAGTAGCAGTTCAGGGGCTGACAACAGTATGTACCTTTTGAATGATGCATAGAAAGCAGCAGTTAGCACAAAGACAAAGCCACCAGATTGGTCTCAGGGAAACCCAGTGTCTGAATTTTTCATGATTCCTCTAGCACTTAAAGAATAAGAAACTGGCTACTACTGTTGGGAGATCGGCATTGTGAAGGTCAGAGCCCAAAAACATGCAAGTGAATCAGGTTTTGCCTGGGGAAAGCGAAAAGGGATTTAAACGGCTTAAGAGAATTATAAAGATTTTTTTAATGTATTTTACAAACACTGTAGTAGCTAAGCAATGGCTATAAAAATGAGAAGAGAATCATATCCACCTACTATTCATTGCTTGTAAGTCTCAAAAGGCAGAGAAAAGACCTTTTCTTTATGTCTGAAGGCTTAAAACTTCCAGAGATCATTCTTTTTCTTATAGACTTCCCATTACCCTTCTTTTGTCTTTTAAAAACTGCAACTGCTTCAGGAAAAAAAAAAAAAAAAGATAAATGGAAGTGTAAAAGAAATTCAGTAATTTCTCTATGCTTACAAAAATGCAACTGCAGTAAAGTGATGTCTTAATTACTGCACAGCCCAGTGACTTACATGTTTATTTTCCAGGCTAATTTAACATTCAGAATTTAATTCCAAACAGGCCACCTGTATGATGATGGAGGGTCTCAAGAATGGTGAAACATACTAAAACTT